CTGAACGTCTGCAGAAAAATCAAGAGAAGTTTCAAGGGAGAAAATGTAGCCCTTACGAAAATGTCTTATAGAATTCCTATATATTCCTTTAGGAATCCTATAGGAATCTTATAAGATCCTAAAGGAATCCTATAGGATCCTATAGAGTTCAGTTTGGGACCTATAGAGTTCCATATAGAATCTATAGATCCCCCTATATGACCTATAGGATTTTCTATAGGACTTATAGGGTTCCTTATAGGGCCTATAGGGTTCCCTATAGTGCCTATATGGAACCCTATAGGACCTATAGGGCTCATACGGAACCCTATAGGCCAATAGGGTTCCGTTTCAAGTTCTCCTCTAGGCCACTAGATGGAAGTATTGGGTTCTCACATTTCTCAAATGTCACAAAATTGCGCTACCCTTACCCAAGGAATCATCTCTCATAAGAGGGTTTTGTACGTCCCCAAATGTCACGCCTTGCCTCATTGTAGCAATCAATAAACTTCGACAGTTCCTTATTTGTCATCCCCATCTTCCAGATATAATCATGGAGTCCCGTGAAGAAATATGCCTTCATTCCTTTTGAAAACCACGTACGAAACTAGATAGACTCTCTCCAAAAGGAATTTCAGTAACGAGTAACGAGACGTGCTCGCAGTTTCTGTCTTCTATTTCCTTAGGTCGGGAGAAGAATACTACTTCTTTCTACCAAAGGAAGTAGACGTGCAATCCAGCGACACATGTGGGGCTGGGCCATAAATTAATAATAATAATGCATGTGTCCCTATCATGGAAAAACCCCTAATCGGATTTTGATTTACCACCCAAATGCTGCGGCAATATTAACCCCGGTGGCCTTTTCCGTAGTAATGCCTGGGTTTCAAAACCCAAAATATCCTCCCTGAATCCTATTTTTCAGGAGACCGATAAGACCCTATAGGGATCCTATAACATCCTTTAGGAAAAAACGAAAGCACGAACAAAAACACGAAAAACCTATAGGAAAGTCTATTGGTTTCCTATGAGAAATAAATAAAGGTTTCTTATAGACCATTTCCGTAAGGGAGAGAAAACTTGCCAATCTCCCCCGGAATTGGGGAAGAGGGTGGCGCCAGTTTCATATTTTTTTAACCATTTGCGGATTACAGATTACAGATTTGTTGAGGGTCTGACTGCAAAGCAGTGCCAAGATGAGATCTCTCGTGGGGATTGCAGCGAATTTCACTGTGTTTCATCGGTGGAGGGTGATTGGGATAGGCGTTGTAACCATCGTTTCGTCAAAAGAGGGGGTAAGTGGAACAGAACGAGGGGGGTCGAAGGAGGGGGAGATGGGAGGGGAAGGAGGGAGAGAAGGAGGGGGAAGGAGGGGTAGAAGGAAGTAAGGGAATTTGTGTGCATACAAGCAGTACCTTGTGCAGACAGTATGTCTCACATGTGGTAGGGGAGTGGAGGGGGGAAAAGTGGGGGGGGGGGTTTGGCGACGTTGGAGAGATCTAAAACCAAGCTTGGGTGCGCTTCACCCCCTTCAGATCCCCTCTACGCTGCTGATTAGGGCGCATGCAGATTTCATGCATCAGCTTGACGCATGTAGATTTCATGCTTCAGCTTCATGCATGAAGGAGATACATGCATCCCGATTAGCCTACATCGATGAAACACCCTTACAACTAATTGAAATCGCCTCCAAAGATCTCGGGGCAGATTCGTGGCAATGGCCGCTCCATGAAGTGGCTCGAGGTGCTTAAATGAAAAGAAAATATTTCCCTCTTCCCCAATTCATGCGTTATTCCGCACGCGTCCTCCCCAAAATCCCACCCACTTGAATCTCTAGTCGATTCCGCGACACTCTCGAACGAGCCCGAGTTCCCTCATGGTCGCTCAGAAAGGAAAGATCCGGGCGGATTTCGGAAACGAAACACCTGCAGGAAATAAAAAAAAAGGGCGTCGTGGGAAAAAATAAGACGCAAAAATGCTGAGAAAACTGTTTTATCTCCCTGATTCTTCCACAATCCATGTGCGGCAACTGTGCGACTTTCCTGAATTCGAATTTCAAAGAGAACTTTCTGGAATTGGTTTTTCTGTTGAAATTCTTTGATGGGTTTATCCTGAAATTTCGGAGAGATATGGTGTTTATGAGGATCATAAGGATTAGTGAAAGCATTTGAAGGTCCGAATCAGCGATTTAATCAGCGGTTTACAAGCGGTTTAGCAAGCGATTATGGCGTCACATGCCACGTTTGACTTTGCCTGGCTTTTGGTGAAATGAGACGAGATTAAACGGATCTGGTGCTTGACCGTGACGCATGACCATTTCCGATGGCCTTTCCTCTCGTAAAGGGCCATATATTTCCTGCAGTTCTGGAGATCCTCGAAGCAAGGAAGGATGTAAAATGCGGAAACAGGAAATGAAATCGAAGAAATTTCAATCTGGGAATCGATTTAATCTATCAATCTTTAATCTATCAATATCAAATTTAATCTATCAATCAATTGAACATTTCTGAGACCACCTGCACGCTTTGTTTAATGAAGCCTCGAATATATATATACGAGTATATATTTCGCCGATATTTGTTTCGTATTCAAATCGATTGAGTTCTGATGCTTCTTCCCGCATGCCGATTCTACAGCGGACGATGACGTCACCAACCACCGACTATAAAATGGGGAGGAGGGCCAACCAGCGGGCAGTCGCAATCCTGCATCCCTGCCCGTCCCGCTTCTCACAGTCTGGTGCGATGAAGTCGTTTATCTTCGTTCTCATTTCCTTCGCTGTGGCACACGGTAGGATTCACGATTTCCTCTTGATCTCGTATTTTTTGCGCAAGTGCATTTCCCATTGTCATCGTCCATTTGTGAAAAAGCGGTTGCTTCTTATTTTCGGCTCTGAAGCCAGTGGCCAAGTAGATTGTGCCTTCGACTGTGGAGTGGCTTCGACTGGGATTGCCACTAAGGGATAAACTTACCTCATTCTAGATGTGATATCTGCAACACCTTCCTCCCCCCCCCCCCAACAACACACACTCATAAACAATGATATTGTCTTGACTCAATTTAATCAAAGTGGGGTATACGAGAGACCTCTGAATTTATACACGATAGGTACATACGATTTCATACGCGATAGATATGATGATAATTTCAATTACATTCCTTCAAATTCTTCTTTTTTTTCATTATTTCACTTTAATTCTTTACATCTGCCTACTTTCAGGGTTAGACTAAGAATTCATGGGACTGAAAATTACTGGAATGAACATTTGATGGGATCCAAGTCACGTCACTTGCAATAAACAGCATCGAAATTATTTTCCTATAGGTATAACACATTTAAAAACGCTTGCAATTTTCCACTTTCCAATATTTCGCAGACTGTTCGGGGTGAAAGGGGAAGTCAAGTTGTTAATTTGAACAAATAGTAAGGACAGATTAGTTTGTAACGTACTACCGAGAAAAGGCAAACGCGGATTCCTTGGCAGACGATGAAACACCTAAATAACAATACGTCGCAAATAACCTGAAAGACCCAAAAAGAAGCAAAGGCTGCCAACTCCGTTTGTTTCACGACTAGCGGGGGTACTTCAAGGGTACAAATTTGCATATTTTTTGCATTAAGCGAAGGTCAGTAAATTTGGCTTTCCATATTTTCTTTGCGGGACGAAACCTAATGCATGCGGATGTGGGACTGACAATAGTGAGTTTTGGCTCCCCGTTTTTCAGGAGGACGGCATCGTGAACGTTTTACTTATCGTTCAAGTTCCAGATATTAAAATGTCACTTTGGCTACGTGTTCCAGATCTCACCGCAGATGGTGTTCAAACAGCATCCTATCTAAGGGCATTGTCGACTCGATGATACACAGCTGGGTTATGATACACATCTGGTAAACTCACAAATCCACAGATATCCAAATGTAATAGATTTACCCCTTGTTTTGATCTACTGCAACTAAATATTCTTAACTTAAGAAGGGATCTTAAGTTCTAACTTAAGAAGGGATATCACTATAGGTATGACATTTTCAGATTACCTACTAGACTAACGTTCTTGATTCCTTTGTCTGACGTCAGTTCATCAGGGTCGCATGCAGACGTTACAACCCTTGACTGGATCTCTCTGTCCCATCATTCACTCTCCAACAACATATAATGTTTCCTTTCTGCCCGTCTCTCAAAGCAAAGTAACCGAAGTTCGTGTCCGGGTAGCATCTTACCCCTCTGGTGGCGAAGAGGACATGTCAGTTGCTGTCCTGGCGGATATTTGGCTAGAAACCCAAGTTGTGGATGCGAAACAATCGTCCAGAAACCCATCTCGAGCAAAACCTACATTTCTATTGATCGGGAAACCCTTGCTGTAGACGCAGAAACCCAGCCAGTGCATACTTGTACCTTGAAATTCAGCTGCTTCGCCATCAATATTATCTTTCCTTCATGGACGACTGACTGAAACGAAACCCGCATCACGCGTCTATCACGGGCTGTTCAGAAGCCCATGCGACTATCAAGTCGTTCCTGACTGGTGGATCCTACGTCGCGGTCACGTTAGTGGGAGAACGGCTGGAAGAGCCCCTCCACGTCTTAGACGTCTTCCTCACGCGTTTTAAAACCGCTGGTGAAGTCACCAATGACGTCAGCGGTCCTCCATGCCTTGCCGCCCTCTCAAGAACGGGTGATCAAAACTCCCTAATAGCTCGTCATACAAAAGCATCAGGATGGGCTGAAAATACAAAGTCATAGGAAGAAATAGGATGGGAAATAAATGATAAAACAACCATACAAATTAATGCTATATTGAATTTCTCATGTCCAAAGCAAGAACTGAACTGGCTGCCCCTGATCCTTCCACTTGAGAAATTCCATATTATATGTAATTAACTAACACCTTTTTAATTCAAATTGGGTCTGATCCAAACTGGTCCCACATTCTTGCATCCAACATTCTTGTCTTTCAAGATAAATGCAAGATAAATGCTCTCTCGCACACAATCCACGATCACCTAGCGCAAAATTAACAAAATGACATGTTTGCAGGCAAGATGAAGCAGCCTCCTCAGTGCCTAGACGCCCACGTCGAGAGACCATGTTACTGCGGGATATCAGAATGCGACTACGAGGATCCGGAGAATGTCATCTGCTTCAACACATGCAACGCCTTTCTCAACCAAGTCGTCGTCGGGGTTTGCGTCAGGGGTGGTGAATGCGAATGCTACTGCGATCCCTTCACCTATCCTCCCTACGTCCCAGATGGATGTGAAGGTTCTCCAAATCCTACTTTTTTTCAATTTCCATCTTCCTACATATGAATTCTATATCTGCTTCAGCGATGATTCCAGTACGGACAATCTTCACGGCATCGATTCTGAAGTCAATTTTAAGGCACAGTGTAATGGATCTGATTCTATTGATAGTAATTGTATAGTTCAAAAGTTCCAGCCATCAAACAGGCGTTTTTTGGGTTCGCTTTCAAAGTACATTGAAGAGGATCCCATAGATAAATTTTACATAGACCAAGTCACGAAAAGCACGAGTCATTGATGCATTGGTTGTGCTCTTTCAGGCCGCGATTTGACAAAGCTCCTTCAAGAAGGGAAGCATTAATTGAGAAGAATGTGAAATGGAGAATGCAGTGAGCGATGCGTTCTTCACTCAAACGTGGAGTATTCAATTGATTCAATAAAGGATTTGCACGAATGAGTCCATTGTGCTCATTAAGGCATGAATAAAGACCTACACTAATGTTTAAGCCGATTCGTATCGATCTTCACCGATCACTCTGAGGCGCTGCTGGTGGACTGCTACCGAGACAAGTTCAACTCTGAATAAGAGGGCGGGCACCCCGTTTGAGTTTCTTCACGGCCCGCCATGCATCCATGATGGAACCATGGAAATGGGTGGCACGAGGGCTTTTCGGTCCGACAGACTGCCTCATCGACTTTCCATTTCGAGCCCATTAGAGAGTGAAACGCCCTATGTTTTCTTGGGAAAGTCTATATCACCGGCTTAGTTTCTGAAGTCCGATGTGGAGAAATCCTAGAAATGAGAATATATAGAAAATTTCCTGTAAATATTTATATATTACAGGTTGCTGCATCCTTAAACACAAGTGGGATTCTCACGGGACTCAGGACTTGGAAAAAATTCCATGACCATCATTGGATGTATGACGAAAACGTTGACTCATGCTAGCGTTTAGAGGAATCCTATATTATGAAGGAAATCACCTAATGTATAGCAGAATGTATGTGCAGAGGAAATCTAGTGTTTAGGAAAACAATTGTATGTCTCCTTTTGTCGGAAAATAAAATATTGATCAGCCACAATCCAAATATGGACATCAAACCATAGTGTTTGAAACATCATTGAAAAACATCAAGTTGTATCTAATGAATTTATCAGTGATTTAAAAGGAAATAATGAGCAAAATTAAGCTAGAATAAATTGAACTCATCAAGAAGGCAATTGCCTTATAGCACATCATAACGGCTGAGGCTTATCATTTGCTCTTTGCCAGCAATTGCTGTGCAGAACATCACAGCATATTCCCTCACTGCCAATTCGACGTTATTCTGAGATGCTCCGACACCCAACATGTGACAGTTCTGCAATACCGATAATCTCGCCCTAAAATTCCTCATGGCAAAGTCGTTTGCAAACTGGCTTGAATGCATGGGAGAGAAAACAGAGAGACAGAGGGGGAGAGAGATTGTTCGATGCTGTAAATTATTTCAAGCTCGTTTCAGTCCAATGCCACCTACTAACGCTTCTCGTGAGTTGAAGACCATCAAAGAGGCCTAATGGATGGGATTGTCTCTGGACTGAAGCGCTGGATGAAGTCATGTCATCAAATCACAAATTGTCGAGAAGATACCTGTCGATGGAGGCTGCCTCCTTATGGGCAGGGGCCCAGTGTTTGGTCGTCTCGCGTAAGTGTATTCACGGACAGCCGCATTAACTGGAACCTTTGGCTGCGTATTTTCAGCTCTTCTGGAGGAAGTACGGTTATTTCACAAGGTGATATGGTTACCAGCATTAAAGAGCGACAAAGGCCGCATCCGATGATGGCATAGCGTTTCCTGGATTGGAACCAATATTTTTTAAACCTGCATTATGAAATGCAGACTTTTCATTCACTTTTATTCATTATTTTATTTAACCCTTTCAGACCTGGCGTCCATTCCATTGGACATTGCATTTACATTGTGCATATGGCGATTTCTTAGGATTCTAGTGACTTTGCGCTCCATATTACGCTACAATGGGTGCAATTATGCATGACACAGTTCTATCAGAGGCCTTCTTTTACCCATTAGTTTTATCATCTTCAATTATTTAATTAAATGTTTAATATATGATTTTTGGTATGAAATGGTAAGTTTTCAAAATATGAAAACAATATATAAAGCACGAAAATTTCAATTACAATAGCGAAAAAGCTCAAAAATGCAAAAAAAGGAAATTATTCCGATAGCGGCCTTAATTCAGGTCTGAAAGGATTAAAGAGGGAAGAAATTTCAGAGCAACAATTGCAGAATACTTTCTTTTTTGCAAGAAAAAGAGATAAGAAACTCCCCATGAGAATAAAACTTCCATCATAGCAGGAACATTTCACATGGCAAAGTTAATTTCGAATGCTGCCAGCACTCGAGTATATTCCGCGAGATCGTCGAGAAGTTGCTCTCAAGAAAAGTTGCTCTCAACCAGAAAAATTTGGTTCACTCTATTTGCTCTGCATTTGATGCGTCGATGCTTCGCGAGGCTGCCTGAGTCTGCGGCCGATGACGCCACAAGCCAAAAGCTATAAAATGGCAATCCGAGGATTGCACACTTCCATTTTTCCTTCCTTGCTCGTCCTGTCCCTCCCTGCTTTCTGTTGCGATGAAGACCTTTCTATTCGTTCATCTTCCTTTCCTTCTCCATGGCCTTGGTAAGATTTATTCTTTGTAATCCTCTGCAGGAGATATTTTGATGCTTGGCGCGGTGAGGTAGACCTAAATCGTGTCCCCCCCCCCTTCCGGAATGGAACCATGGGTAGAACATTCCATTGCTATTTTAAAGTTTTTTTTTTGTCGAAGTACCTAGACTCTCATTACTGTTCCAATCTTGAAACATGTGGAAAATCCTTTTCAATATCTTCAGCTTAGCCAGGCCAAAGGCTATCACTTCTTCCCCTTCTCTGATACTCAACATCATCAATGACTAACTCCTTCCACGATCGAATTCAGATGCGTATCTGGCCATGGTTGAAAAGATGGAAATGGTTTTCCGAGCTTCCACGACATTAAATTCAAACGGCATTTTAAACGTCAATTTTTCATGCTAGGAATTTCCCGTGCTCCCCTCGCATAGCTCCACGATCGCCAATTGAATAACACCGTGACGACATGTTTACAGGTGAGAAGAGGCAGATCGATCCGTGCCTAAACGCCCACTTAAGCACACCATGTCACTGCGGAATATCGAAATGCGACTACCAGGATGCGATCGATGTCATCTGTTTCCTCACATGCAAAGCCCTTCACAACGAAGTAGTGGTCGGGGTCTGTGCCTTCGGTAGCAAATGCGAATGCTACTGCGATCCCAACGTCGTTCCACCCTACGTCCCATCTGGATGTCCAGGTAGTCCAATTCCTATTTCTGGTAAAATCTCGACCCCCCTACATTGGAGTTCTTATTCGTGTATGATTCGATTGAGGACAAATGTAACAAAACGCTATTGTTCTAAAATCGATTTCAAATCTCAGTGCAATGGACCTGTGAGTCGATAGATCCTAATTGTGTGGTTCCAGCCGTTCCAGCCATCAGGCATGCGGTTTCGGAGTACCGTTATGAAACAGTCCTGTAGGATTCCTAGAGGATTCCTGTAGGTTTTTGAAAAGCGAAAATCCTATAAGATTCCTAAAAGAATCATTCAGGAATCCTATACGAAACTTATTGGAAACCTTTAGGATCCTATAGGTTTCATATCAGATCCCGTAAGATTCCATAGAATCCTATAGGATACCTTTAAGATCCCACAAGATACCTATAGGATCCTATATGACGCCTATGAGATATTTTAGGTTTCTATCAGTATCCTATAGGATTTTATAGGAAATCTTTAGGTTTCCCATAGGTTTTTCGTTTCAAAACCTATAGGATTCCTATAGCACCTTCAAGTAAGGGTAGATTTCCAAAGAAACTGAAGAGGCATACAAAGATGAATTTCACCCTGATGAAGTCACAAGGTGATGATACCACTTGAAGCCTTTGTTGCGTTCTTTCAGGTCGTGATTGGACGAGCTCTTCGAAGAAGCGAATGCATTGAGGAGGATGCGAAAGGGAGAATGCAACGCGTTCGCCTCTCAAGCGTGCAGCACACCCATTTCATTCAATAAAATGACTTGGCACAAGTCGGTTGATTGTGGCTGCAAGTCTTTTTTACGACGACGCTTGAGTTGATCCCGAACGCTACCCTTCGATGTTCATTGGGTGTAATCACCATGGATCAAGTCATTGGTTCTAAGCTGTATCGGGCCAGGATTTCCCTGCAAGTTGCCCTCGATCTTTTCTATTTTATTGAATGATGGCTTTTGGAATAGCGACAAGGGATTTCCGTTGTTCTTTCATTCCTTGAAATCTCTCATCTTAGAATGAAATCTCGTAACTTCTATCATTATATTGATAGGGTGGCATTGTAATCGGAAATTGCAAGATTTCATTTACAGTACTTCTAATATTCAATACACGAGGTACGGCAATAAAGTTTCCGGACTGATATTTTTGTGAGTCTGTCAATACCACGAAAATTATTTTCATTCCATGGACTGATAGATAAGACTGTTGGGCAGTGTTGTGCCAGTTCTCATCTGACTAGCATCTTGAAAGAGAGTTTGGCTGGCAATGTAACAATGCAGTTTGTAAGGCGTCTGTCATATTCCCAGAGTGAAGCAATGCTTCATCACATTTTGTCTCAACCCAGGGAATACAGCAGCAGTAATCCATCAAATGTTGCAGAAGTGTCTTGAAAAGTTCCTTGTTATGCTCCAATAATTTTGAATGACCATGAAGACCTTCAGCAAGTAGTGAATAGACTTAGATCCACCTCAACCCCAGCCATCACCAACCATTCACCCGAGGGATGGCTGAACCAATCATTATTTTCAATGTCATATCTACTGACTGAAAGCCTTGAAAACTACTCACGATTCTTGGAGTATGACCAGACAATTCTTGCAACATTTGATGGATTGCTACAGCTGTATTCCCAGGATCGCGACAAAATGTGATGAAGCATTGCTTCACTCTGGGAATATGACAGACGCCTTACACACTGCGTTGCTACATTGCCAGCCAAACTCTCATTCAAGATGCTAGTCAGATGAGAACTGACACAACACTGCCCAACAGTCTAATCTATCAGTCCATGGAATGAAAATAACTATTGTGATGTTGACAGACTCACAAAAATATCAGTCCGGGAACTTTATTGCCAGACCTCGTAAATAGACGATCATGAGTGACTGAGTGAGCGGCTGACGGCAATTCTGACCATGTCTAAGAAATGATGATAGGCTGAAACTTGATACTGAAATAGCTGTTAGACAGAAAAATTCCAATTAGGGGGGTACATGCCCTGGGGGCACATTTTGGAGGGACTGATTTTGTAGGCCTAGACCGAACCCAGGGACGGACGCTTAGACCTATTCCATTCTCATGCACACACTTGCTTCAACAGAACTGGAAGGAACGTGAATAGCTGCTAGGTTGCCGGTTGCCAGAGAAATCCGACAGTGGAGGTA